TTGACAAGCATTATCAAAAAAGCAATCAAAAAAATTATAAAACTATTAGTGAGTGATAACTATTCTCGGTTATCAAAAGAGCTTTATAAAATAATATTATTATTGTAGTTGTTAAGAGATTAATATTAATCATTATTGTAGTTTTTGTAATCTTTACAACATGAGCGGCCGTGTTGTATCAAATATTACAACACTCACCGTTGTGATTTCTATTGTGTTTTCCTCGTTAATTAATAATGAGTTTTACAAATATAGTTAGCGCGAGAAGCAAACTAAGGTTATTCGCAACAACTTCAATGCAAGTAATGTTTAAAGTCCTCCAATTCGGACTGGAACTAATTGCAAAGACTTGAAATCCCGTCCAGTCCGAATTGGAGGACTTTGAACGACTTCTCATACTTATTAATTTTTCGGGAGGGGAAAAAAGCGAAAGAAATACATATAACCGAAACATTTTGATTTATTGCATTTATTTCATCCTATAGCAATCAATCACGCTTCAAAATTTAGAAACCCAAACTCAAAGTTTGGACTATTGGCCGATAACAAAACGRAAAGGGGACTGGGTCCGAACTTCAAAATCAAATTAAATAACGGTTCCAGAAAGAATAACCCCAGCATGTGAGAGAGCACCATACAAAATGCTTACTGACTAAGTTTCATGATGTTGGAACTTATAGCAATAAAGTTACGGACATTCAAACCATGCCAAAATTACAAAGAAATGTATGTTGTCCAGCCAAAGCGTCCAGCCAAACATACATTCTTTGTAATTTTCGAAAAATTATATTTCCCAATTCCCGTTACTTAAACTTGCTCAAACTTCAATGTTTAGCTAGTTTATAAGTGCTTTGTCTATCGACAACAGATTTCAGTAAGATTGTATCAGTTGTATCACTTTTAACATTTTCAGTCCCAGGCCCCTGCTCGTTTTGTTATTGGCCAACGTGTAATTGTTTAAGAACGAAGTTTCACGTTGCCTTTGAACAGTAGTTGACGCTGTTAGAATACTAGCCAATCAGAGCGCACGATATACGGTATCTATTTTATAATGAAATATATCGATTATTATCTATCTATTATATTATTATTTAAAATAAGAAATAAAGCTCCATTAGAATCAAAACACATTGTCTGATTTTTTGTTGTTGGTAAAGAAAGAATTAGGGTACCCATCGACCACTTATCAAACCTATAGCTTCTTATTCTTTGTTTCACTATACGTCACAGCGCTCATTTTGGAGGAWMTTCAACAAAGGAATTCTCATCAGTATCTATTGCTCATTCCTCTAACATGGACTGCTTTCAGACGTTGTGCGCACTATGATCGCGATGCATGATTTTCTTCACATTGCTCGCCTCTATGAAAAATATGGCGGATCAAGTCGCAAGATAGTTGAGTTTCAAAATGAAATTTGTTCGTTATGAATCATATTTATCTGACAAACACGCAATCATTCAAAGCGATATCATTATCTTCTCAAATGTATCCGATTGACGATAAAATATTTTTAAATTCTATAATTTTGAATTTGAGTTGATTCCCATACATTTTCAAAGTTTTGTGTGAAATTTTGCAGAGCTATTTCCTCTTAAGCCTGCCTAACCAGGCTTTCCTAGTCACTCCGAGAGAGTTTGGGCCTGATCTGAGGGTTAGGAAGGAATTCTCTCACGATACACGCGGTTAATCATGCATATCAGGAGCCCATTACTAGGAGCCTTCCTCTTCCCATCCCATTGGCTTGTGGAACGGCATTTACTCCTCTTGGTGCTTATTGAGATGCCGAGTTGTGATCGAAGAGCCGCCGGCCGCCGCTATCAGGTGTTTTAAGATTGAATTTTAAGTTGTACAAGTGAAGAAATTTTCGCTTTTACAAAAACTATTTTGTAACAAAGGTTCAATGGCACCATTAACTATTATATTCAAATGTCTAAAGATAGTGAAAGGGTATGAAAAATAAGCGAAAAAGCTCATACATGAAAGAATCGACATTTCTGGTTTCTTTTACCGACGAATCTGATCAAAAAGCATGACAGTGAACACAAAATAATCTATTCTTATAATGAGTTCTTCATCTAAAAAATGTGACATCACAAATGTAAAAATACGCAGTCAAAAAATTATCATTTAATAAATTTGTTTGTGACAGTTTTGCATCGAAACAACAACTCTTCACAAATGAAGTTACCACGGAATTTCGGCGTCTTTTTTCTTGAACAGCCGATAAACAGTCCTCTAAAATGTTGTTGTTTTATGGTCATATAAATAAGTCAACCCAAAAAGAGTTCCATTCAATGTCCATTTGCATGTAAAAATTTGCAAGCTTAAGTTACTTTCTTCAGTCATGTTCAGTTTGCTCAATTTGAACCTTCGTTCCTCGTCTTCAACAGCCATTTGATTTCAAATTCTGGTTATCAGTTAAAGATCCAGAGTGTGATTTGAGTCGATTTGTGTTGCTTTTGCTGTCCAATGAATTTTGTTGGTCTTCGGCTGCTCAATGAAAACATGGATAATAAACTTAAGCTTAAGTGCTTTTATTATCCATGATGAAAAGTTCATAATTAATTGTTGGTTGTTGTTTTTTCTCCAGATTTTCCCCTGTATTCCCAAGATTAATTACACCTGTTTTCTATCACTGGCTTCCTCATCGGCTAAATATGAAGCGAAAGGTGATTAAAATGAATTTTGAAATAGTCTAGTACTAAGTTCTTCCTCGCCGGCGGTCGACCGGCGGCCGTCGGTCATTCAGAAACCTATTGTTCAAGTCGCTTTCTGATTGGCTGTTTTGCGCTGAATTTATAATGAGCAATTCTAACCAAGAGGGGTAAATGCCGTTCCAAGAGCTTATGAAGAAGAGGAAGGCTCCTAGTAATGGGCTCCTGTGCATATCTAAATGAGKCGTGTTTCAAATATAATTGCGAGAATATAATTGCGCCCACAAAATATTATAGTCTTGAATACTGACGCGATTATCTCTATATATTCTTGGCTATCTGTTGCTTTAGCAATGTACGRTCTGCTAATCGAAAGGCACTACTTCTTGTCTCATACTTCGACCGTATTTGTGTGTTTGACATTTTATACCGCGCGTTTGAATGACCTTCGAGGCATTAAATCTCTTACCATGAGGACCTGGTGTCCAACGGTATCTTAGACTAAGCGCGTCATATAGCTCCCTCTTGTTGAGGTTGAGGTTTTCTGACTTTAATGGTAAGGTAGTCAGCCAGATGGAAGCGCCATTTCCTGCTTAGGTCATTTTCTCTGATTTGTTCTTGATTCATCTTCTCGCGAATTTGTTGTATGGTTTGGTGTTATGCTGTTCATCTCTCTCCTTGATTGCGTTCTTTGTCGCAGTCTTAAGCCGTTCTGTGTCCAACGGTGCTGAATTGTCTTGATTCCTGATATTTGTGACAAGTTGAGCCGTTACTAAACCAGAGTTTGCATACTCAAAGTCAGCAATATTCGTAAAGATGGGTATTGCTAGTCCTCGTTTCTTCACTGGTAAAGACAGCAGAAGTCTTTCATCAGAGGTGCAGATATGGCCTTCTGTGATTGCTGGAATAAACTTGTTATCTACTTCTTCGTCTAGTTTCAAGAGATGTTGCTTAATGTTAAGTATTGTTCTAATATAATAGGTCACCTTATGTCTAATACCACGACGGAATACAGCATAGGCGGCTTGTGGTTCCGATCTTGCTATTTGGACGAACAGAAGTGTCAGTTGATCACACCATGTGTCTAACATCCGATCCTAGACTGACCATCCAGGCCACACTGCCAATGATTTCTCCAAGATATTTTCTTCCTTCTGTTGTGATTTTAATGTTAGTATCAGCAAAGACATTCTGCTTCTGATTTTACAACTAGCCATGAGAGCATTTGGGTAGTATCCCAGTTTAGGACCTATAGAGTTGCTATGTTATCCCACCATGTCGCGTCGCCACGGGCAGGGACGCTTAGTGTCCAACCAGAACTGAAATACTCGTTGTTTGTTGACAAGATAAGCTTTATTAGACGTCCACTCCACTCGAGCCACTCCAATCAACAGTACAATACGATTACAATTCGGTGAAAACTATTGAAAAGACTAACGATTAAACTATAGAAACAAACACTAATGAAAGGAAAATACCAGCTATAACTTACGTTCGTCCCGGTGTAAAGATATCAAACACTCAAACTCCTGATAGCTCCAAAATAACTGCAGTAATACCTCCAAAATAACTCCGGTAAAGAACTCAAAAAAATAACTTCAATAGAAACTCCGAAAACTGAACTATATGAGGTGACGCTAAGGGGTCATATTACTAAGTAAATAAATTTACAATGGGATAAATGTRTGATTGGCTACTTACGATTGACGTGTAAACAGGTGAAATCAAAGATTACTAAAATACTAATTACTTAAACACTCCATAACATGACACTCCTCGCCCAAGTATCTGCATGCGAAGATACTTGCTAATTACAAACTATGTGAATATACATGCACTTGTCCGTGGTCACTAGCTAATGTTCCTCTAACTTTGTTGCTGTTCCTGCTCCTCTACTGGTAAGAGGAGTACCAGTTCTTTGATAGGACGATAGATGCTCTTGCTCTYGCCGTCTCTTACTACRTTGACTCTTGCCTTCCTAACAAGTTTGTCTTCGCTCTGAATCGCTTCCGTGACGACTCCCATTGGCCAGTTGTTGCGGTGGCCTTCTGCCTTGAGTAGCACCAAGTCTCCATTCTTCAGATTTCTAGCTTGACGCTTCCACTTGCTTYGTAGCTGAAGACTCTGTAGGTACTCTTTCCTCCAGCGCACCCAGAACTGATCGGCRAGGTATTGAACTCGCCTCCAACGTCGTCTTGCGTAGAGATCTGGTGGTATGAATTCGCCGGAWKGTGGGCCAAGTGGGCGTGTCTTCAACGTCAAGATTGCTTGCGGCGACAATGGTTGAGGTTCATCGGCGTCGGTAGGTATCGCTGTAATAGGTCTGGCGTTGACGATAGCCATGACTTCGGACATCAATGTGGTTAGTAACTCATGAGTWAGYTGTTGATAACCAAGCTCTGCGAACATAGCGTCAAGCACCCGTCGGACCGTGCCAATCTGGCGTTCCCAGACACCGCCAAAGTGTGAGGCGTGGGGCGGGTTGAACTTCCACACGCATCCTTGTTTCTTCATAAACTCCTCTATCTTCTCAGACCCTTTGGGATCCAGTTCCGAGCTCCCTCCGACGAAATTTGTGCCGCGATCGCATCTGATCRTCGAGACTGGACCTCGTATAGCAGAAAATCTTCTAAGTGCGCATATGAATGCGCTTGCATCCATGGACTCCAGCACCTCGATATGRATTGCTCTGCTGCCRAGGCAGGTGAACAAGAGACCCCAACGTTTKGAGTTTGCCGCTCCTCCTCTTGTTCGTCTTGTTGTTACACTCCAAGGGCCAAACACGTCCAGTCCTACGTTCGTAAAGGGGGGTGCGTCCTCCATTCTGTCAACAGGAAGATCGGACATGCGCTGGCAGAGATGGGAACCACGTGATTTTCTGCAAGTTACACAATGGTGAAGGATCGAGGAAACGAGACGATGGCCTCCAACGACCCAGTATMCCCCTTGTCGTACTGCTGCGTGTGTCAGTTGTCGACCTTGGTGATGTGTCTTCTTGTGAAAATGCTGAATGATAAGGGTTGACACGTAGTGACCTTTTGGGAGAATTGCTGGGTGTTTCTCGAGAGTGCTCAAAGAAGATCTTGTGAGTCTACCTCCAACYCGCACTATTCCTTCGTTATCCAAGAATGGATCCAAGCTGTCGATGTCTGTTCTGCTCGTTTTGCCAGTTGTCTGTTTCGATCCTCCTGTCTTCAGACCGRCTTCCCTCTGAGCCTCTCTTACTATAGTGGTGGCGGCCTCATTCATATCCTGTACAGTAGAACGAACTGCCTCTCCGTGATTGGTTGCTTGCTCAGGTGAGTTGTTTCGACGGGCTTTGAATCTCTTGACCCATGCTAACAGTAGAGCGATACCCCGTTGTAGGGAAGTGAAACTCGAGAACCTCTTAAAGCGTTCTGCTCCCAGTGGTCGACTAAKTGGCTCCACTGCTGTCTTTGCGACATTAACTTCTTTCCGTACTTCTGGGTCGCTACTGTCGATGTTAATTGTGTCCGCAGTTTCAATCACCTCCTTGTTCTTGAGAAAATCTGGGCCCGTGATCCATGTTGACCGTTGTAGCYTGCTAGCTGGAATTCCTCTTGTACCTAAGTCCGCAGGATTTCGCTCACTTTCAACGTACCTCCACTGACTCGGTGAGGACAAGCTTCGGATTATCTGCACACGATTTGCTACGTAAACATAGAATCGCCTTTGCTCGTTAAGGATATAGCCAAGCACTACTTGTGAATCGGTGTAGTATGTTAGCTCGTCGATGTGCAGGTCTAGCTCYCTTAACACCTTTGAAACTGCCTGTGTAGCCATTACAGYAGCGCACAACTCTAGTCGAGGAATGGTTGTAGGGCGTATGGGTGCCACCTTGGCTTGCCCATACACCAGTGCCACGGAGACATCTTGCTGRTYGTTAAAGACTCRGAGGTAGACTGCAGCTGCTACTGCGTCTTGACTCGCGTCAGAGAACGCATGTAGCTCTGCCCTCGCTATCTTTCCGAACTCCATAGGTTGGTAGCATCTGGGAACCACGACGTTGCTAAGGGCTCGGAGGTCGTCCTTCCACCCTTGCCATTGGCTCATCTGCTTTTCTGGCAGCGGGTCATCCCATCCTACACGGCCACCGTCCGTCTGTTTAGCCATCGTGAGCTGTTGAAGGAGCCGTTTCCCATTGATTACGACTGGTGCCGCTATCCCRAGTGGATCGTACACTGAGTTGATCGTTGAGAGCACTCCTCGTCTTGTGAATGGCTTCGCAGTTTCGGATAGTCGGAACGTGAAACTGTCGCTCCCGAGATCCCAGTAAACTCCCAACGAGCGTTGTGCTGGAAGTCCGTCGCTAGCGTGGTCGAGATCGCGAACATCTTTATCTCTATCGGCCGTAGGGAATGCCTCCATTACTTCAACAGAATTAGAGACCACCTTGTGCAGGCGAAGGTTTGCTGTAGAGAGSACCTCTTGGGCTTCGCGTACGAGATCGATGGCTTGCCTGGCTGTTGGCGTCGATGTTAGACCATCGTCCACATAGAAATTTCTGTTGACNNNGAGGGTCATTGTCTTCGAACCATAAGAACCGGAGARAGTCCCGATCTTTGGGAGATACATGAAATGAGTGGAACATTTGTTCTATATCGCACATTACCGCTACTCCGTCTCTTCGAAATCGTAGGAGGACTCCCACCAGGCTGTTRGTTAGGTCGGGTCCTGCGATCAACTCTTTGTTGAGCGACGTTCCACCGTACTCTGCGGACGAGTCGAAGACAACACGAATTTGAGTGGGTTTTTTAGGKTGGTATACCCCGAAGTGAGGTAGGTACCAAATCCGTCCATCTGAAACATGATCCTCTTCGCCAGGGATCCGTGAAGCGTGGCCTTTTGAGATTATCTTCTCCATAAATTCGACGTAAATTCATCTGTGGCTTTCTGTAAAGTGACTTTGCTAGACTGTTTAGACGATTAAGTGCTTGAGCGCGGTTGTTTGGCATTTGGACGTCTTCTTTCCGAAATGGAAGTGGCATCTCCCAGTTCGAAAGTTCGTTTTTTCTCAGCCCCTTGTGCATTATATCGATGAACTTTCTRTCTTCTATCGACAGGCTAGGTTCATTGTCATCTGGTTGCACGTGAAATATGTCTTGCTGTAATATGTTCTTCGTTGGCTCGGTTTTCACGGTGAGTTGATTCGGAYATGGTGTGACATGGTAAGATTCCAACATGGTCWYACACTCCTCGCCATGAGGCGATGCTTCTTTTGCGGGCTCTTCTCGTGATGGATCCTCGAGGTAGGTACGTTTTGCGTTGATGTGGATATTGTGGTCAGTTAGGTCGAGACARGTCTGACCGGATACTGTCCAGCCGAGACTTAACTTCTGCGCCCAAGGTGCTCCTCTGGGACCGTTCTTGAAGGCTCTGACCTTTAGAAGTTCTGGCGCGTCGCGGCCCAGGAGAAGATGAATRCCTGCGTCGACGTCGAGTGCTGGTATTTCGTCTGCGATTGACTTGAGGTGAGGAAATCTTTTAACCGTGTCGGGGGTTGGTATCTCTCGTTTATCGCACGGTATTGCATCACATTCTATCAGTTGTGGCAGGCAAAACTCCTTTCCTTCCATTACAGAACGTACTACAATGTMTGAGACCCTTCTGCCRTACTTGACTTCGCTCGAAGAGCTGCAAGTAGACAAGTAGTATTTCTCCTGTGGGCTTTCTACGCCTATGTCGTCGAGAAGCTCGTTACTGACTAGCGAGGCGTTGCTTTGATCGTCGATGACCGCATAGATTCTCCTTAAGTCGTCGGGTTTCGATTCCTTGTAAATGTCGACTAGAACTATCTTGCTGCATGAGAGACCCCCAATTTTGTCGCATACTGTAGTGCATTTAGTGTTGGCGTTGGATGATTCAGCGGCGGATTCTGCTTCTTGCGCCCTGGGCTTGTCCTTGTGCAGCAGTGCGCTGTGTCGTTTGTCACCGCAAATATCGCAAGATATGTTCGCGACACAATCCTTCGCATGATGATCGTGAGAAAAGMATAGGAAGCACAACCCGGCTTTCTTTAACCACTCCGTTTTTGCCTGCAAGTTCATAGACTTAAACGCCTTGCATTCGGTCAATGTATGGCCGTCTTTACTGTGAAACACACAGTGGTCCTTTTCACTGACATTTGGCACCTTTTCTGGATTTGCCCTGGGAGGGACGAATTTTGTCGCTAAAGCTCGGCGTTGCGGCTCTTGCCTCCGTCTGAATGCGGGCCTTTCGATAGGGCTGGTGACGTTAGGATGATTCTTAAGAAGCGCTTGCTTCTGAAYAATGTTCGCTAATCTGTGAAAGGGAGGATACGCGTCGTTGTTATATTGCGCAAAGCTCGCGACTTCCTTTTCCCACTTCGCTTTGAGTGATCCAGGCATCCTTTGTATAATAGGCACGATTRCTATCGGAAAATTTAAGCAYGCTAGACCAGGGAGACTATCGATCTGACTATCTACATCCGCGCATATGTCCGCGAATTCTTGCAGTCTTTGTCTATTGTCTTCGTCGAAACTCGCGCCGTCACGCAATCGCGCCAATAGCGCGTTCGTTATAACGGCGGGGCTGCCAAATCGCCTTTCCAATTCGGACCACAGCTCATTCAATAGCTTCGCGGGGTTTGAATGATGTCGTTTGCGATAGTTATCCACAACGCGTTGGACATTCCCGGCAGTAAATTCTCGCAAATAATTTATCTCCTGTTCGGCGGTGACGTCAATATCGCCTATCATCGCTTTGAAGGCCTTTTTCCACGGATGGAAAAGCGTAGCATCGCCATCGAAGGTGTCTGGATGACACTTAGGTAAATTTTGCTTAGCTATCCCTGACACGATCTTATGGTTGGTCGTTGTTAGCGCTTCTAAAATTGTCCCTGTGACGTCTCGAATGGGCGTGGACTGAAAGGGCGGATGTCCATCGTGTGCAGTGTGCTGCGAGTAAGGGCCCAAGTAGGAATCTGCGTGTGGGCGGTTTGCGGTCCCCTTAGCCGGTGTGTTTAATGACATGGGCGGGGGTCC